AAATCTGCAGTGCGCGCGCGCGCGCGCGCGCACTGCAGATTTTGGCTCGATTTCGAGACCCAGATGCAATCAAGAGAACGCCAGATGCAACCAAATTGCGTTAAAAAGCTCTCCCAGCCCTTCTAAACCTGTGACCATTAGAGTCACTATCGGACTATCGCTAACCTTTCAAGGAAAGTAAGCAGGCCCGACCAAGGCAAAGCCAAACTGGGGAGCCCCTTTGGCTCGTGATGCTTTTGTACGAGGCGCGCGCGCGCGCGCGCCTCTCGCACAAAAGCATCATGAGCCGAACGGCCCGGTCTGTGGAGGGGTAGAGTTTCGACTACTAAGACACTAAGACTACTACTTCTGGTACTTCTGCGTGAACTACTAACACCTTTATCCCGCAAGCGTCCACCTTCCACAAAAGGCTTGAAAACAAGCGCCCTGATCATCAACCAACATACTCGCAACCCGGCCACTGCGCAGAGAAACGTCCTCCACGGCTGGGCGGTCTTCTGGCATCAAGAAGTCCGCCACAGGCGGCACTGGGTTCTCTGACGCCTTCTGAACCAGAGCCTCGCGCGCTTAGTGTACTTGCTTCAACCGGACTGCGCAACTACGCTGCTTTCTTTCTGGGGCCCTGAACTCAACTGCACCCTACGCCATACGCCCAACCCTCAACCCTTACGTGACCGCCTTTACCCTACAAGGCCCCAAGCCCCCTAGCCAAGCCCTAAAAACCCAACCCTAAGCTGAAGTCCCAAACCCTGCACCTAGCCCGCAACCCCTGACAACCACACGGTCCACCGCACTGCGGCTACTCGGCTACTCGACAAAGGATGCTAGACTCAAGGTTGCAATGACTCAGTTGTTGCGGACTCGTCCTGACCCTGTCTCCAAGCTACTCAACTGGCACACAGACACATAACCCATGCATGCGTGTGGGCGCAAGTAACATCCAGCAAGGTCTGGAGCTGAAGTTATCTGGAGTTTGAGTCCACGGCTACATTGGCTACATTGGCAAACATGGCTACGCGTAATGGTACTGACCAAGTTCCGCTAACTGGGATCATCACTGATCACATCCTTGCGACATCTGCGCAAGACAACGTGCCTGGCAGATCTTTGCCAAGCCTTCCGCATCCTGTCGGCTGTACACGTCCTTGCGCAGAAACACGATGTAGCACCTGGCGCCAAGACCCATGACAGAATTTCAAATCATTGAGGCGCATAGCCGCAGTAGTAGTAGCAATAATAATAAGAATATGTAGTAGTAGTAGTAGTAGTAGTAGTAGTAGTAGCAGCAGCAGCAGTAGTAGTAGTAGTAGGAGGAGTAGCAGTAGCAGTAGTAGTAGTTGTAGGGGTTAGTGGTAATAGTATAGTGTATACAGTGTATATAATGATACGTGTTCATTCTTGGGGTCTTTCCGTCCCGCCACACGCCCCTTGATAGTGAGTAAATAGTAAGTGGCGGTGGCATTTGTGGTGGTAATAGTAGTAGTGGTAGTAGTAATAATAATCATAATAGTAATAACTTAGTGACTTAGTAGTAGTAGTAGTAGCAGCAGTAGTAGTAGTAGTAGTAGTGGTAGTAAGGTAGTAGTAGTAGTAGTAGTAGTAGTAGTAATAGTAGTAGTAGTCATAATCATATTAATAATAATAGCAGCAGAGTAGTAACTCAGTAGTAGTAGTAGACAGGAAGACGGAGTAGAGCTGGCGCAGCAAACTGACAGTTTTCTGCTCCCGGTCGCTACGGCTTCCGCTTTGCGAACTGTAACTTTGGCAAGCATGAATGAATCAATGCTGATGATCAGTTGATGTCAGTTGGCTCCCAAACGCCAGCCAAATCGGCCTCCTCTGTCAGGATTTGCTGCGCGCCTGGCACGACTTGAAATGCCTCGCGGGCACTTCTCCTTTCTGAAAGTGTGATGAACTGTATGGAGTCGCGGTGCCCCTCGGAGGTGTCGTGATTGCCCCCCTCAAGGAGCCAGGCAGCCAGGAGCCCGACCGGGCGCCCCTGGCCGCTGTTGGAAACAGTCCTGCGGGTAGCTTGCTTCACTGTCCTAGTACGCTTGCACTCAGGCCCATGTCGCTTGCAGAGAGCAACTACAGACTTTGATTTGATGTTGAAGGTCAGGAAACCATGCTGCCCGAACTCCACGTACACATCCTTGAAGGCCTTCGCTGCCCTGCCCCGTCTCCCCAGCACCGGTGAAAGCGGCTCGTCCCTGTCAGCTGCCACTGGCACTGCCGGCGGCGGCTCTGCGGACCCTCTTGCAGCTTCCGCTTCCTCCTGCTGCTCATTTTGGCGAACGTCTTCTGCTGGCTCCTCGTCCTCGACTGCCTCCTCCGGTCTGTCGTCGCAGTTCTCGTCGTCAGGATCCACCAACACAGACGCTTCTGAGCACTCTGAAAACTGAACGTCTATCTCTGCTTCACTAAGTTCAGGCTCGCTTTCTGAAGTCTTGAGCAGTGCTGCAAGGAGGTCGTCGCCATCCTCCTCCTCCTGCGCATCCACTTCAGCCGCCGGCTGAGTTTGCGGCTGTGACTGCAGCCCAGGCTGGGGCGGCGCCGAAACTTTGGCTGGCGCAGGCGCAGACCGCTTCCCAGAAGACTTGTTCTTTGCTTTTTCCGCATGCGCACGGTCTTCCTCATCCGACCCCCGCCACACTCGCATTTCAGGAATGGCTCGGAACTCACGCACTAGCACCCAGTTCGGGACCATTTCATCTGCAGACAGCAGAGCACTGTCACTGACGACGGTGTACTTGCATTTCCACTGCAAGCTCAGCTGCAGCTTTTGGTAGAAAAACATGTCGGGCTCGAACAACGGCTGGCTTGGCACCTCAAGTCTCATGAGCTCTTCACCTCTGTTGCATCTTCCGGCAGGACCTGCTGAGTGAAGCTCGAGGCCAGCACACGCCCAGGTTCGGAAGTTGACAAAGCCGAAGTGTACCCAAAGTTCGGTCACGCCGCCAGCCTCAAGGACAAAGGAATTCAAGCCCGCCCTGCCCCACGCACTCTGCTGCAGTGTATCTGTCTCAGCTTTGTCTGCCTGCCACTCGAGGCCTGTTCGTTGAAACCTTGCAACCACAAACCCTGCGCGAAGAAGTTCACGCTGACGCTGCTTGAGCTTGCGGTCCTCTTCCTGAGCTGCACTGAAGACCCGACCTTTCCGTCTCTGAGCAGGGGTGAAGAATGGCTTGACGAGCGCGGTGAAGTTCTTATGGAAGTTCAAGCTCGCCTTGCCGGCGCCACGGCACAAACACCGACCATACAACTGGCAGACAGTTGGTTTTTTGGCGCCCGTATCCCGGGCCGGCTTGCACTCGTCCTGAAAGACCATGCGGGCCCGACGCTCCCACTCCTCAGGAGCTGCGGCGGCACAATCAACAATAACTACATAATGTAGTTACTACATTACACATGCAGTGTACAGCATACGGCGTACGGCATACAGTGTACAGTCTGTCAATGGGTAACTAAACCCTAGCAGCCTAGCAGGCCATTTCATTTCAGCAATTTTAGGCGGCATTCATTACAGGCCGCTGGGCGCATGCAAGTGCACGATTGAGACTACGACAACTATGAGTACGACTGGCAGCGGTTAGGCTACTACGCTAGAAGACTGAAGAGCCACGACCCTACAAATACTGATTAGGCAAACAAGAGGACCATTCAGGATTCGTGCCTGCCCAAACTACTGACTCACTCGTTTTGCATAGCCGGCGGAGACCCCAAGCCCTCGACACTTTCCGTGGTTCTCAGAACTCAGACCCCAGTATAACGACTGCAACGAAAACACCAAGCCACAAATCCCAAGGCCTCTCTCAGACTAATGACGCCCTAGGCCAGGCCAGCTGCACGAGCCACTGGTTGGTAACTACACCTGCAAAACTATGAAAACAACACCTCAACAAACATTGCAACCCTATGCAAGCACAGGCTCCATCCTGAGACGCCCCAGCAACCCTGACTTTGTGGTAGATGCATGCTCCAATGCGCGCTGAGCCAGCTGATCAGCCGGCAAATGCAGATCCAATTGAGGCAACGCAGCAGCCACATGCCGACAGCTGCCTCGCACTGAAGGGCACTCTTCCAGGACAGGATCCAAGGCGGCGGTATCCACAACAACATTGTTCAACGTCTCTGCGTGGGCGTGCGCGAGGGCTCTCTCCTCACGAGCCTCTGCGTTGCAAGTTTCTCTCACCCTTGTCAGCCCTTCGTTGAGCTCCGCCATTAACGTTCCATCTCTCCACAAAGCAAGCTGCTGCGACGGTTCGCCGCCTGACCTGCAAATTGCATTTCTCCCTCGGCGAGGAAGGCCCCGCAGACCTTGCAGCGCGGCACCCTTGGCAATGTTACCCAGGTTCTCAAAATGCGTCCTCTCCTCGTCAGTCAAGCTAGCGTACTCACGCGAAAGCCGAGACATGGCCTCCCTGGAAATCTTACCAGAAAGTCTTTCATGCACAAAGGCACGCCAGGTCCATCCCCAATTTGCCACTCGCTTAGGCTTCCTCGTCTTGGGAGCAGGCGCTGGCTCCTCAGCGTCAGGTCGTCCTGGCCCGAGCAGAGCTTTCCTTCTGGTAACATTGCCCCGGCAAATCCACTCAGCGCTGGCCCTTTCAAGGTCAGGGCGGGAAGTTTGGACGGATTTCATAGTGATCACCCTGCGTGAGGCAGAATGGTTCGACTCGATCTGACTGATGTCAGTTGTAAACATGGACAACAAAGACAACAGCACTGCTTGAGCTTCCTGGCCCCCAAGAGCGTCTTCCGAAGGAAAGCTGCTGCGAATTTTCTGCGACAAGTCGCACAGCGTGCACTCTTCATCAGTGAGCAGGGACATGTCTCGCAAGCAAGCTTTGAAGAGTTTGATCGGGTACGATCCCCAAGGAATTCCCAAATACACACGGACAGCGCTGCCAGCAATGGAGAGCATTCGGAACAGCAACACCTCGGTTTGCGCGCGCAAGCCCTCTCACTGCAGTAATCTCTTATCTCTGGCGCAAAGCCTGGACACACCAGTCTACTGAATACTTAAACTTAAACGTAAACCTAAAGGGAGGTGAGTCTAAAGTTGATCTAAAGCCGCCCAACCCTACATTGCCCTACATGTTCTCAGCGTCCTAACCCAACCGCCTTTACCGCAACCCTAACCTCTAGAAACCTAAACTCGGCCTGAACCTAAGCCCTAGAACAGGCCCCAAGCCCTTAGTTCCAAACCGCGCAACCTCTTAAGCTCCTTAAAGCGCAGGCCTGCCCTGCTCCCAACAGAAACACCCTGAGCCGTTCTGGCCCAAGCCGTCTTCCTGCTGAAACGTCTAGAGTCTAGAGTCTAGTCTATAGAACCGGACTTTGAACCAAGCGAACCTGGTACTTGCGAAGCAGGCCAGACGGGTAAAGGTAGGGCATAGCGGCTTTGAAAATCTGCGTGAGGGCGACAAAGAAAGTCTGCAGGGCCGTCTGCTTGCTTGCTTCGAGAGCAATGTATGTGCGCTCACCCCTCTCAGCAGCGAGTCTTTGCTGCAGCTGCTCCCACTGGCTCCCGGACTTCTTGAGGAGCTCAGACAGAAGCTGCATGCAAGGGGTCATGGAGGCCATCAAGATCATCACAGCATTGGCAGGCTTGGAGCGTGCCCAAGCAACGACGCGTGTTCGAAGCTGTCGGTTGTACTCAGCCCAATCTACATCTCCGGACTGGGCCTCACCTGCGTTGAGCAAGACTGTTTTCGAAGCTCGCAACATAGCAGCACAAGAACCCTGGAGAAAGCAACTTGCCCGGCCCGGAAGCGATGCAAACTCTTGCTAGTTCAAAGTTGCTGGCAGAAGGCTTAAACTCTTTAGGCTTCAGGACAAAAATGCACTGCACACCGAACACAGCACAAGAACTCGAGCACCAAGGCAAACTGGAAGCATTGTGTGAATTGGAACATCTGATTAAGACTAGGACTGCGATGGTTGCGATTAGCCACATTAGGATTAGATTAGATTAGGACTGCTTAGGATTATGGGTAGGCCTGGGACTTCGAAGAAGAACACGATGGCATACAGCAATGGACGCTGCCCCTACCACGCGACGCGGTGGCCGCTCAGTATTCAGCAGTGAACAAACTTTCTAGCCGCTGCTAGTTAGCTGGCCTTGTACTACAGTGCATTTTTTGCAGGTTCCAACTAACAAAGTCTCCTCTGATTTAGGAATCTAGGACGACTCCAAGACCCACGATACTGTAGACTGTAGACTCTACTGTAGACCCGACAGGGTTGTGGGTCTGCCTCGGGATTTTTAAGGTCGGTCAATGGTCAATGGTCAGTGTTTGATGATGTTGATGGAGGGTTAGGGGCCAGGGATTAGGACCTGAGTGGAATCCAGAACCACAACCTGAAGAAACCCCCACGAAGATGAAGAAAGAAAGGCACGGGCCAACAATTTGCCAACAATGGGCTCTAGACTAGACTAGAGCCAACTCTAGCCTCTATGACTTGACTTGACTAGGCCGTACACTAGACTCTTCAGAGTGACTTGACTCCATTTGGAATTGCGGGGCTAGATCGAGGCGGCCAGTGGCAAGAGTTGATGCTCAACCACTCAACCTGATTCAACCTGCCCTTGCCCTATTGGCGATCAAGCGAGGAAGACTGGCCCAGCGGACCTAACAGACCTCGTAAGCCGTAAGCCGTAAGCATGGTAAACTTTGGTAAACTTGACAAACATTGATAATGAAGACCAACTTCGCCCCAAACTGCCTCTGTCCTCCGGCGCCGCTTCATCAGCTGCACCAGCTTCTTGACGCACAGGGCGGCGTAGTCGAGGCCCTGCATCGAAGTCAACTTCCACGTCTGCACTCTCAGCTGCTGCAGGAGCACTGTCTGCGCAAAGGGCAGCAACTCGCCCCCAGCCACCCGCGCGCGGCACCGGGACAGCACGGACGGAAGTTCCAGTGTACACCAACATGGTGTCTTCGAAGAGGTTGTGCAAGGACAACAACAAGCCAAACCACTCCACTGCTGGCTGCGCGCCCGTCCAATTCTTTCTCACCAGGACTGGGGGCTTGTGCGGGATAAGCGCGGGGACCAGGTAGGTCTGCATGGCCTCCAAAACCAAGTCACGGTCCAGCCCAAAGGTCGGGTGCCAAAACGCAACTGTCTGCTCGCAAGTTGTGTCTCCATTCAGGAAGAACGAGATCAAGAAACGGCGCACTAGACTCCGCCTCTGCAGCCTGGACATCTGGCTGTCGACCCCAGCAGTTGCCACAGGCAGGAACAAGTTTAGCACATCTCGGACGCGCGTACGCTCAAAGCTGTCATCGGCCAAGACACCGCAGCGCACGACAACCCTTGTGCGCAGAACCTGGGACAGCGCTCGACGCAGCTGCCGGGTGCCGCCTGCCTGCTGAGCAGCCAGAGCAGCGTAGATCATCGCAGAGATATGGCCGTCCACCAGCTGGTGCTGCCGCTTGCTGCAGGTGTGCATTCTGTGTACATCGCACGCATAGTGCGATCTAGACAGGATGTCCCCTTCCACTGAGTCCTTTGCGAGGGCTCGTTCTGCGCAGTAGTTTGCAGAATAAGCGTCAGTGTTGATCAGTAGGAAAGGGTGCTTGCACAAGACCGTTGCCCGCCAAAGCTCCGGCACAAGTTGCTGAACCTCCCGCTGACAAAATACAATTTGCTCCGCAGTGTTCCGCTCTAGCACCTTGAGATGTGTCGGCAAGTGGCACCGAAGTTGACTGTAGCGCTGCCCGTCGTGCACGAGTAGCAAGCAAGCAAACTCTGTCTGAAGAAGTTTCACCACGGTCCCTTCTTCCCTGCACTTGTCGGGGTGGCGAACTGAAATGCGGCAGGGCGTCTCGTCGTATCTTCGCCGCAGAACCATGGAAACCAGCGTGTACTTCTTGTTGCGCACCAAGTCTAGGGTTTTGCAAAGCAGCATGCCAAGGAGAAAGGGAGCTGACAGCAGCATTGCACAGGCTGCCTCACACAACCTCCTTGCGAGGCTCGTTCTCGAAGTGGCTTGCTGCTTCGCCTCAGCTGTACCAGTCACAACTGGCCTGGAGTCATAGAGAATGCTCCGCAGTGGTTCGTCTGGCGCACGCTTGTCTTCATTGCAAGCGCTCATTGCCAACTCCCTCTGTAAGGGCTCACCAATGTCACGCACGCGCAACAGGAGCTGAGCACTCTGCTGGTTCTCCTCTGCCTCTAACTGCCTTGTTGCCGTGTTGCGGCAACTCCTTGCATGGGCCGTCGCGGCAGCAGAACGCCATGGCAACACCAAAGCAGCTTCATCATCCGCCCTGGCAGCGGCCCTGGCGGCCTTCTGCTCACGTACAAGCTTTCGAAAGCCATGCCGGCCCCTCGGCTTCTTGGAAGGCCGAGGACCTGCAACTGGACTGCGACTAGCCTGACTAGCCGCTTGACTAGCCGCACTAGCCTCACTTTGCTCAGCTTCCGACAGATCGGCGCAATCGAGCGCCACTCCCCGCCACCCAGAACACTGGCCAGCAGCATCACCAGCGTTGCCCAAACAGTCCGCAGCCACGGCTTCCCACCCCATTTTTTCATTGGCTCTTCAGGACTATGACTATGAGTAAGGCTAAAGGCTAAAGTAGGCTAAAGCTAAGGCAGCAGTACCAGAACCAATGAGTCAATCAAGTAGAAGTGGTACAACGCCAGGTCACTTGCTGCTGAGCAAACTCACCACGCAAAGCAATGCGTCATGTCCAAGCCCAACAGTCAGTTGAGCAGTTTACCAGTTTAACCGCCCTCCTATCCTATGTCTATGGTTCACAAATACAGAACTGCAGGCGCAGGCGCATCCAGAAACTGAACACAGTCACATGGAAGGGCTTGCAGGCACAGGCGCAAGCAGAACACATTGCAAAAGAGCCGGGCGCACCGTGGGCGTTTCACTGGCGCCCAAACATCATACCGCAGCTCGTTCACGACGATGTGGTATCCCGGGCGCGCCGTCTTCTCCACAGACTGAAGAAACCTGGCATGGGGCGCATGACTTGGGTTCTCTGGACAAATTGCAGGGGGAGAGTATGTTCGGGTGCTGCGCTCTATGTTGCTGATACCTGCGGGTCAGCCTTAATCGAATCTCTAGAGTCTAGACTAGACGTTGTCAGGTTGAGTTAGCTTTCTCTAACAGCATGAACATCCAAAGCATGAAGGTCGTGCCTTACGCGAGTGTGTTTCAGGAAACGTTCACAGATCTGATCGAATCACAAGTAGCCGCAGCCATGTTTGATTTTGGCACTGCATACAATGTACAATCTGAGGGGAATCAACCTAGAGTACTGTAATTGGTCAGCTGACGACGTGATCAAAATCTAGAATACTACGCAGCTTGCAAGAGCTGCTAGAGTCTGCTGTAACGTTGACTGTAATTTGAAGACTGATGCTTGGAGCTTGGATTGGAGCTCACATCGTAAGTGGTCCTACCTACCAGGACCTACCAGGACACCTGAGATCTGTCAACTGCAGGTCCTGCCTCTGCATTGGTGTAGCCTCCTCATGTGGTTCTGCCTTGTTGAAGCCTTGAACTTGCTCCAACACGCAGGCCCGGTGCTTGCATGCGCTGATGGCGGCCAGAGCATCTGTAAATGTTACATTGTACAATGAGTGCGACTTGCAACCTTCAGTGGAACGCTTCCACCGCATCTCGGAGAAAGGCGGGCAAGGAGTGCCTAGCACGTATAAGTCGCAGCTTTGCATTGCACACGCAAGGCGTGTCGGGTGCAGCAAGCATGGCTGCCCTGCCACCTGGTTTGCTATTGTCTCGTGAACGTGTGCTACTGGAAACGTGGTGGTGAAGAGAGCCCGGCGCTTTTCTTCAATCTCGGAGCAACCACAAGCCTCGAAGGGAATTCCAAGCTCCTGCACACATAGCAGCGAGCAGTGGTGCGCCTAGCAAAAAGGACTATTATGACCCTAGCAGACGTTGTCCGGATGCAAGCTCAACATTCTATAGTCAGATGATAAGGTAAGAGTCCGCTTTCGAACGCGCAAACAAGTCCGCAATCTAGTGTACCGACTGGTCGGGTCTGAAAGCATTAGAGGCCTGCCCACTGCCCTCAGGGCATCATGAGTCAATAGTACTATTCAGCAGCCTGGTGTTCAGCTATGCAACTCTATTTGATTTTTAGGATGCACGCGCTACTGAACTGCTTCTATTGCGTCTGCTGCTACTGCTATTGCTGCCCTGCTACTGAGTACTGCGACTGCGGCTACCGGCTCCGCGCGCAAGAGTCCTCCAGAACGAAAGCTTCTGAGAAATAACCAGCGCAGGAACTCATCAATGTCACAGGCTTGGAACGCGGAGCCCCATTCGGCTTCATCTGCAGTTGCGACGTGTACTGCTTCAACCTGAACACCCACCATACCTGCAGCGCAATGCCAGTTCTGCTGAAAAAACATCATTATTGAAGCGCCACAGAATGGGCCAACTTAAATGCAACCAGACTGCATCTGAAGTTTGAGGACATTGAGGTATGGACTGCTGGCTGGAATTGAACAAGTCATCATCAACGCACGGGTCAGGCGTGGACGGAGTGCGGCAACGATCGGCATCTTCAACTGCTCGGCAGAGCTCCCTTGAAGCCTTGGCCTCTTGCTGCAGTTCACGGCAAATGCCGCCCCAACCGCTGGCCATGGTCCACGCGCGGCCCTCTGCTCAAAAAAAACTGTGAACTCAACACCCGCTGCTGACAGTGGCAGATGGTGCTTTGCGCCTATGACAGATACGTACCTTGACATGACTACAGAGTGATCATAGCTACTTGCGGCCAGACTAGATCCCTGTCTTCGCCTGCTGCCCTTGAGCAAGTGTCGAAGGAAGTAAATCTGATTCGGGAGTCATCACTCATGTAGGCAAGGCCCAGGCCTTGTGAACAACTACAGAATATACAACCTAGTTCACCAAGCAGTCGAGCATCTACATGCCAGGACCAGGAGTCTACCCGGCACCCAACAAACACATCCGACTTCCTGGTACCTTTTTTCTGCCTTGATCCCACGTAGTTCTTTCTCTTTCTTCTGTGTCTTGTCCACGTTGTTTGGTGCGTTGCTTGGCGCGTTCACAAATTGTTGATGCCTTTTGTCTACGTTGACCAGTGCCTTGGTTAGTGCCTAAATTCTACGTTTTTATTCAATTCCAGATGTACCAGAAATAGACCGTCCGTGCGACTTAAAAATAGGGGATGAATTAGGTAATAGAGAGGGGTGGTCAATTTCGTCAAAAATGACCACCCTTCTCTATTACCTAATTCATTCCTTACTACCTTGCTTAGCAGATGCTAGCAAAGATAATAGGGAATGAATTAGGTAATAAAGAAGGGTGGTCAATTTCG